CAGGTAGTGGCAATTTGGTTCTCTTATATTCTACCTGTTGATGTTTACTCACTCTTAGTCGCATCATGTTCAGTGGGATTTGCTCGTCAATAAATCTGCATGGGATAGGCCTTAGACAAGGTTTCTTGTCTTTAGGGGTCTCACAGTTATAAAGTGTTGTCTTACAGATATTCTTGTAGACCTTTGATTTGAGGAAATCACTTTCCATAAATAACTCAGATCACATTTATACTTATGTAAACCATTAATCTTCAGCATCTAAGTACCAAGAAGTGTCATTGTTCACTGCCTTTTAAAATATACCTGCTCCTCTGGCTTCAGGAAGGCATTGATCTCTGTTCCTAGCATAAGGTGTGGCTGGAATGCTAAATATCAGAAATTGGAACAAAAAACATGCTATAAAATACATGAGACAGAAATTACCTTTTTCCCCAAGAGTAGGAGAAATGACAGTGAAATGTAAATTATAGTATTTGCTTGAAAATATGACGCATGACAAAAGTTCTTCCTTACTTATGCCTCAGTCTGCAGAGTTATGGAAAAATACAATTGTTAAAGGAAACTTTATTTTAACTTAGAAAGATTGTCTTTAGGCCCCCAGTATGTATCAGTGATACATCTCTGAAACTTACTAACATACCCACAGACTAGCAGTAGCAGAAATATAAATAATCCATGGATGTGGAATTCATCTTATTGAGGTAGTTGGAGCTTGCATTTTTACACAAATGTAAAATTAAGATACCAAAAGAAAAAGAAAGGTTCTGGTTTAAAACAGATGAAATAATATCTGATATACTGCTAGGAATAAATCTGAATTTAGACAAGTAAACCTGTTGGACGCTGTGAGGAACTTTAATCTCATAACTCCCACTGATGGCAGTGGGTTCTGCTTTAAGCATTACCAAGTCTGGATCCAACTTAATGGTATGTTTCTTTCCTAGTAATGCAGACACAGAGAATGTGCATGTGCCATTTTGAAAATGGTGGGTAGTATTTTATTGGTTGATTTATTGAATTGATTTATATCCTACTTTTGTCCCAGAACTTAGATGGAAAGCCATTTACAAAACGGTTAAAAGCAAGTATAAATGAAAACAAGAGATTATCACTGTTTAAATGCAGCAAAGCCAACCATAATACTGTATTAAAGCAATAACAAATCCACTTTTCATTCATGGAGGGCAGGGGTGCTCAACATTTTTGGCCTTGGAACTCTCCTTTGACTACACACATGCACAGGTACACCAAATAAACATTCACAAAGATACACAAGCAAGCAAGAATGAAAAAGTTTATCAGCTGAGATCCAAAGATTCTTGGGGTGGGAGTGGAGAGCTCCTATTTTCACTGAACTCTGAGCTTGCCACAGGAAGGAGGGTTTTGCTTTCTCTCCTCCCATCAGCTTCAGTGAGCACCACCATCTTCAGTGTCCTACCAGCAGTGCTGGTTGCAAGTTTGCTGCAAGGGGAAAAAGCAAACCTGGTTCTGAATTGTACTACTGCAAATTAACAAGGAGGGGATTATGAGTTGAATGCTTCCATGTTTTAAGAGAAAAAAGAAAAAAGCTGGCATCTAGAAAACTACCATGTCAGACAGAAAGCTTGGGGAAGATGGAATTTAGGTCTCTGTGGGGGAGCAGTGAGCCATAAGATTCCTGTCCCTGTAACCTGTACTGGGATAAAGATGCAATCCAGGGACAGATGTACAGTACTATCTCAGCTAGGGTTAATGAGAAGCATCTATACCTCAAAAGGACCAAACTGTATTCTTTTTCCCTAATTATTGGTTTAGTCAGGGGAGTCCTAAATGGCATCTCTCTTCCCCCTTCAGCTCTTGTTGTAACAAAAAAATGCCCCTTCTCATTGGTACAGCTGATCTTTAAAAGCGAAAGTCCCCATTTGCTCCAGTGGGGATTTCTTTTCTCCTAGATGGGGAGGGGCAGGATGTACAATTTGCATTAAATCCTCACTGAGAAGCATGAGTCTTCCCTCTGCACACAGGACAATTATGTCCTCCCCATAAGCAGGGGGAGGAGTAGGGAAATTACTGCATGCCACCCATTAAACTCTCCCTGTAGATCCTCCCTAAACCACTTAATAGTTAAGAACATCTTTCTTTAATCATTAATCTTCCATTCTCTCTCAAGTAATTTCTCTTAGTGTTGTATAACATTACTCTGTCACATGATGCAATCTACAGCTGGGTGCTCTCAGCAGTAGTGAATTGATTGCCCAAACATTTGGAAGGTGGGAGGAAGGAGGGTGTTTTAAAAGGATGACTTTTGTGGCAGTGTTAAGAGCAGCACATGTATCTGGAAGTAGGCGCTCTGTAGATGGCCAAACACAGTTCTCTCTCTGTCCCCCCCCTCCCTCCCCCTTTGGTGGTAAGAGAGAATTTCAGTGTATGAATTCTGCTTTATCACAGAAAGGTGCTTGGTGAATAACAGTTAGGGCAAGTGTACTTGACAGGTAGAAGCTCATTAGATGTTTTCCCAGCCTAAAAATCAAGTTGGGCAGCATTGTCTAGTGAATATCTACCTTAGAATGTGAATAAATGCTTCTGCAAATCACTAGGGAGAAGATGCACCTCTGTGTGTCTCGATAAATAAGATGAACTGCCGATAGCTCAGTGGCTCAGGTATCTTGCTATGGAGTCAAAGGCAGGGAATACAAACCCCCACTGTGCCTCCTTGACAGGCGCTGGTGAATACAAACCCCCACTGTGCCTCCTTGGCAGGCGCTGGTTCTGATGATCTATAGGGTCCATTTTGGCTCTGCAGTTCTAAGCTTATTATTATCTAATAAGTGAAAGGAGCCTTCCTGGAAGAGACCATCTGCACACTGTCTCCTGTGAAATGGATTTCTACATACAGTCTCAGGGGCTGCTTCACAGGGTTGTTCATTGCTAATCAAGGCGCAACATCTTCTTTCCTGTAATGGTTCCTGGATGTAGAACTGAGGAGAGGGGAACAGACATATATTGCTATGAATGTGGAGACGGATGTTGCTGCATTGAACCAGAAGAACAAAACAAAATCTCAGCTCCTAGTTATCCTAATGCCTTTATTAGAATCCATTATATTTCCACAACAGCAAGCTGTTGAGTTCTTCTGAAGTCTCCATGAGCCTCCCTTTCAGCAATCTGCAGGGATCAGATTGCTTATTCAGCCATAAGGTGTAACTGTTTGGAAAACTGAAGGATGTTGCTTCAGCTCTGTGTGAAGTAATGCTTGCCTCTGAGAAAAAGGGGTAACTTAGGGCCATAGATCATGGCAATGAAATAACCCACCAATCGCAGCGATCAAATTGCCCTTTTTTGCTTCCCCCTGGTCTGTCAGTGGAGTGCTACTACAACAGCCCTCTTGTTTGTTTGTTTGTTTATTCAATTTTTACCCCGCCCCTCTAGACAACATCTACTCGGGGCAGCTTATATAGGTTAAAACACAAGATAACATACAGTGGACTCTCTATTTAAGGAATTAATCCGTATTGGAATGGTGGCTGCAAGTCGAAAAGTCTGTAAGTCGCGCCGTCTGTAAGTCGAGGGTCCACTGTATATAAAATACCATTATTACAATTAATTTTAAATTTTTACACAATACATTTCCAAGATGGCAAGACTCAAAAAAGGAAGAAAAAAGAAAACACTTAATTGACTGGAGGGAAGGCCTGTTTAAACAACCAAGTTTTCAACTGGTTTTTGAAAACACCCAGCAAGGGTGCCAGCCAAATTTCATTTTATTTATTTATTTATTTGATTTATATCCTGCCCATCTGGTATATTTATACCACTCTGAGCTGTATATTTATACCACTCAGTAGGGATTGTGTTCCACAGCCCAGGGGCCACCGCCGAGAAGGCCCGGTTTCTTGTTTTTTCCTTCCGGGCCTCTCTTGGTGTTTCTTCTCTTTCTGGATCAGGACCATGATATTTTAGCCTGCAGTCCTTATACTTACTTACAGGGGAGTAAGTCTCATGTATCCATGACCATAATTGTGTCAGTAAGTAAACTAGTCTATCAAAACCATCCCTAGCTTGGACATGGAGCAGAGTTAGGAAAAACTCTCATGAGAAGCCGGGGGAGAAATCTTATATCTCCTCCTCCACCACCACCACTGCTGGAATGAATGAGAGGCCAGTTGCTTATCTTACATCACACCTTTTCATGGGATTTCCGTGTTTGTGGATGAGTTCATTTAATGTGGGTGGTTAGGATTGAATTGAGGTGTGTTCCGCGTCTCTACTGGTCGAGTTTGCCCTGATACCACCCTGGTTTCAGGATTCTATGGGCAGAACCCTGGTGGAGTGGCTTTACTGGCAGAGGCTTTCCAAAGCAAATAGGGGGTTTTCTGTAGATGTGTTCATGTGGTGCATCTGTACTTCCACCTTATCATAGTACTCTTTACCTAATGAGCAGCTGAGTTTTGGATTGTGCAATTAATTGCATTTCATGCCACATTGCTTCATTTTTAACAATACTGCTACCATTTCATTTGCTGCTGTATTACTTGTGAACAAAGTGAGATAGCATTACCAAATAGCAAGCGTGACTGGATGTTCCAAGATTGATGGGGCAGAGAATATTTTAAAAGTCATCATCTGGGGGGTGGGGGGTGGGCTTGCAAATTATGCTGGCAAAATCTAATGCAGTTATGAAGCAAATACCAAAGCAACTTAACAACTCAGAACTACTTCCACACAATATAGGGCTCCATTTTGGATTACAGTTATTGTAAATACACAGAATTATTTACCACTAAGGACTAAGCTATAGCTCTTCTATGAAATACAGGGAATTCTGAAAGAAAAGCACCAAACTGGAAGAAGCTTTAAAAAGTCACACTGATTCTATTCCCTTGAAATAAGATTGGGATTTTATGTAGTCCTGTAAGAATGGAACCCTTTTGAAAATTTTAGGCCAGGTCACTTAGTGAGTGCATGGAAACTATTGATGTTCTGTAATTACATTGTTTCTGTGCTTTCCCCCCACCTACCAGGGACAAATGCTAAACACGGACTGCGCTGTAAGGCATGTAAGCTGAGCATTCATCACAAATGTGCAGAGAGCATTGGACAGCAACGCTGCATGGGTAAACTGGTAAGCCAAAAGAATGGGACCAATTACAGCAAAAAGCTATAGCTGTGCAAGGGGTATTTCAGCATGTCACTGAAATCAAGGCCCGTCATTTCAGCAAAGCAGAAAAAATGAACTTCCAGTGTTGATAGGATAGAAACATACAGATCAAGGCAATAATGCAAAAACCAGATCAGGCCAAGACCAGACAAACACAACTGAGGAAGGGCATAGCTCAGAAAAGGTTGCCTTTTTCTAGACTACATATCCCAGAATTCCCCAGCCAGAATGAAGGATTCTGGCAACTTTACTTCAGAGAAATAGCTTACTGGAGCTGTAAGGAAAAGTGGTTTTTATACCATGTTAGAGATAAGCTAGCATTAGGAAGACAATATTGCTGATCCCCTGCCAATAACCACAGTTCTGCTCAGGGTTGGGGGTCAGTTGCCTACCTTTGGTTTCCCTGGTTCCTTTCTGTCCTTGCTGTGGCAGAATCCTTGCTCACAAGCACTTTCTGAATATCTCCTGAGCAATGACATGACAAGGAGATAGAACAGTGCCTACCAGGTGCCTCACACTTCCTTTCAAGGCAGTTATTCACAAAAAAGTTGTTAAATTTCAAAGTATATGTGACCCTCGCAACAATTCCCATCTTTCCCACCTGCCAAAGCAGGCTGTTGTGCTGATCTATGTCAATGAGTCAATTCTAGCAGCCTTCATCTCCATCCAAAGCAAGTCTTTTACAAAGATAATGGATCTTATGTCCCATTCAGGACCATCACTGTCACACCATACTTCCCCTCATAGGAAGCTTACAACAATATGGCTAGGCAATGCCTTTTTCTCCCTCGATTGCTGTCAGGATTACAGCTAAGGGTAGAAGGGACAGTAAAATTGAAGGTGATAGGCAGAAGACATTACTGTCCTTGCTAGTTATTGGCTAAACTCCAGTAGTAAGTCACAACTAGAGCAGGCCCATTGAATCCATGAGGATTTGGTGAGTCCACTCCTCTGAAAGTCCAATTGATTTGGTGGACCTACTATAGTTGTAATTTAGTCCTGGATTTCAGCCATTAAGCCCCAGAGAAATGGAGAAATGAGAAACAGAGGCTCCACTCCAATAGAGATAAAAAATGTTCTTACATTGCTTCATGCAGAGAGATTTCGAAAGTGCAGGCACCATTGTCAATATGTGTTATATATGTTGTCAATAGACATAGACAGACATTTTGCGTTACAAAACAATAAATTTGGAAAATTCGTCCCAACAACCCTGAAGATTGTAGCTAAGTTCAGAAAGAATAGAGAGGCTGGATGGGAGGGGGAAGCTGAAGTATGCTCATTATAGAGTCCTGGCATTTTAATCTTGCCAAGCTCCATTACAACATGGGCCACTTGTGAATTTTCTCTCTTACTGTTTCTCTCTCTTTAGCCCAAAGGTTTCCGCCGCTACTACAGCTCTCCATTGCTAATTCATGAGCAATTTGGATGCATCAAAGAAGTTATGCCTATTGGTAAGTGCAGAGGGAGTTTTAATTTTTCCTCTGTTTTTCCATTTTGCAGTTTCCAGCATGCAGGCCAAATACACAGATCTTCCTGTGTTTCTGTTAGGGATGCTTGCCCACAGAGGGATTTGTATGGCTTTCTCTTTAAGCCAGGTCTGGGAAACCTGGGAACCTCCAGCTATTGATGGACTGCATCTCCAATCAGCTGCTTAGGAGCATGGCCTGTTGCTAGGGATGGTGGGAGCTGTAGACCAACAGTATCTGATCAGGTCTAAGGAGCCTATACATGGGACAGGAAGCAACAGTTAGAACTGGATATGGAACAACTGATTGGTTCAAAATTGGGAAAGGAGTGCGACAAGGCTCTATATTGTCCCCTTGCTTATTCATCTTATATGCAGAATACATCATGCAAAAGGCTGGACTGGAGGAATCCCAAACCAGAATTAAGATTGCCAGAAGAAATATCAACAACCTCCGATATGCAGTTGATACCACTCTGATGGCAGAAAGTGAGGAGGAATTAAGGAACCTTGTAATGAAGGTGAAAGAGGAAAGTGCAAAAAATGGTCTGAAGCTCAGCATCAAAAAAATTAAGATCATGGCCACTGGTCCCATCACCTCCTAGGAAATAGAAGGGGAAGATATGGAGGCAGTGACAGATTTTACTTTCTTGGGCTCCATGATCACTGCAGATGGGGACAACAGCCACGAAATTAAAAGACACCTGCTTCTTGGGAGGAAAGCGATGACAAACCTTGACAGCATCCTAACAAGCAGAGACATCACCTTGTCGATAAAGTTCCGCATAGTCAAAGCTATGGTTTTTCCAGTAGTGATGTATGAAAGTGAGAGATGGACCATAAAGAAAGCTGACTGCCGAAGAATTGATGCTTTTGAATTGTGGTGCTGGAGGAGGCTCTTGAGAGTCCCCTGGATTGCAAGGAGAGCAAACCTATCAATTCTAAAGGAAATCAAGCCTGAGTGCTCACTGGAAGGACAGATCCTGAAGCTGAGGCTCCAATACTTTGGCCATCTCATGAGAAGAGAAGACTCCTTGGAAAAGACCTTGATGTTAGGAAAGTGTGGAGGCAAGAGGAGAAGTGGACGACAGAGGACGACATGGTTGGACAGTGTCATCGACGTTACCAGAATGAATTTAACACAACTCCGGGAGGCAGTGGAAGATAGGCGGACCTGGCGTGCTCTGGTCCATGGGGTCACGAAGAGTCGGACACGACTAAACGACTAAACGACAAAGGAGCTAAGTGTTTTATAGGCTTTTTGAAGAAAAATCCAAAAACCATTATATAGTGAATCATTATGGTCTACCATAATCATGGTAGCAATATCAAGGCTGGATTAATCAACAAACTGAATGTGCTTTATAGCAAAAGCATTTACTGTACAGATTAGAAGCTCTGCTGCCTAATCCTTACCAAAATTTGCATCTGTGTAAAACAACAAATCATTCGATAGAGGTTCCCAATCTCCTAAGAAGGACAAAAGCTGATCCCACAGCTATAAATACTCAACTATCCCACAAAATGCAACAGAGCACAGACAGAGTTCTGACTCCTGTCCTCTGAAGATGCTGGCCACAGAAACTGGTGAAATGTTAGGAAAAACAACCTTCAGAACACAGCCAAACAGCCCAAAAATGTACAACAACCATAAAGATGGTTGTGACACAGTGTCAGGAACAGGAAGGTCACCCAGTGAGTTTTACGGCTGAGTTGTGATTGGATTGGGGTCTGTCTTATCCTAGTCTGATTCTTCTAACCGGTGTACCAGACAGGGTCTCTTTTTAATGTTCAATGTTTAGGAGCTGATTCCAGTATCAGACCTTCTGCTGAACATCTCTTTTGGTCAGAAGATGAGAAGGTGGTTTGCATCTTGAAAGGAGAAGTTATGTTTCCCAGTGAGAAAAGAGAGGCCTTGTTTTATCTTATTTCTTTTCCCTTATTTCCTATCTCTGTTTTGCTTTTTTTCCAGCATGTGGCAATAAAGTTGATCCTGTCTATGAGACGCTTCGCTTTGGAACTTCTTTAGCCCAGAAGACCAAGAAAGGCAGTACTGGCAGTACAACAGATTCACCAAAGAGGAATTCTGTAACTACGCTATTTTGCCTACTTGTTTTTAATATTTGCTCAGTATTGCTATTTAGTGTCATGTTGGCTGACATAGTGGCAGTGGAGGAAGACTTTTTTTTCATAATGCTAACAGTGTATGAAGTGCTTACAGAATAACATAAGCCCTCCTACACTCATATATGCACCAGCAGGTCCTTGCCCCCAAAACTTTATGGTCTACTTTTCAGTTTTGAAATACTGGGAAAGAGGGATAACAGAAGAAAGGGAGGGCCAAACATGATAAATAATAAGGAGTATGTGTGTTTTACATTCCATCAAGTTGCTTCTGATTTGTAGTGACTCTAACAAGGCTTTCAAAGTAAGTGAGATTTGTAAGGAGTAGTTTTTCCAGTTCCATACACACACACACTGTGAGTTTCCATGGCTGAGTGGAGACTCAGGTCTCCTAATCCCAGTCCATCATTCTATCCACTACATCACACAAAGTATTGGGGGTGGGGGGAGGACAAAGGTAAGGAAGCATGAATATGAAGATTGGAGTCATTGGTAGCAATTTTGGTACCTATGTTTTGTCTGTCGTATTGGTACAGTTTGATTCATGTGAGAGTGGGATATGCAGGGAAAGTATGATGGAATTAGGAAGCGTGAGTGATGGCCATGTTGGTTCTGTGTTGAGCTCCCCTGTTTTATGTTTCCTTCTACCAAGGGAGGAGTGGCTGGTACTGATGTATATGCTCAGGTTGGATATATTTGTGCCCTTCCAGGAGCATTTTTTCCTCCCCTCTAAATAACACCAGCCTGGTTCAACACCCTAGTTACCCGACCTTGCTGATAGCTGCAATGAAAAAAATAGAATTAAAAGAACTGAAACTTTGGAAGTAAAGGGTTAAGCTTTATAGAAGTAAGGAGCTCTCTGCAGAAGAGTAACGGGGTGACTCCATGGAGCCAATGAAAAAAATAAAATTAAAAGAACTGAGACTTTGGAAGTAAAAAGCTTTATAGAAGTAAGGAGCTCTCTGCAGAAGAGTAACGGGGTGACTCCATGGAGTTGTCCTTATATAAGGGGCAGCAAATGGGAGCAGACAAAATCATTTCAGAGAGAGTGAGACCTTTTGCTAGCTAAGAAAAGTGGCATCGATGAAACAGCACTTATCATGAGAAAGCCCAAAATAAAGCTTTGAAGCCAGTTCTGTTCCATCCACATTACATTCTAGCTAGCATATCAAGCAAAACAAAAAAGGCAGCCTTTTAAAAAGCTGTAGGAGAAAGAGACAGAAATGGAACAGATGGGGAATCCTGTTTAAAGGGTTTGATTTTAGAACACTGATATTTTACCAGAAACAACAGGACCAGAACTATTTTTGATAATTATGGGGAAATGAACCATTTCAAAACATTTGAAATGTTTGCTTCTTTGAAATGAATTCAGTATACACTACACAGTTAGGGAAGTGGATGGTAATCAGTGCTTCCTTTACAGGCAAAAACAATGAAACAAAGACATGCTGTAAGGTGATTTTTTTCTGTAGGCAGACTGGTGTCATATGTTGTCAGAGAAGCTGATTAGATCTCTCAGACAAAAATCTCCACACACATCCCACCACTGAATATTTTTTGTTCTTGACATTTCAACAGCACAAACAGACATGGGCGATATAAGACTGACGGAAATCCTCCAATGCCCATGTTCCCCGAAGTTTAATCCAGGTGTTATGTGTTGGTTTATACCATAACGTGATCTCTGGTTGGTATTTTCTACCATTAAGATGGGTTAGGAGTAAAGCTTTCTGGTGAGTAGCAAGTGCCAGCCTAAAGGTCTAGATCACTGGTTCTTAACCATGGGTTGCTCAGGAGTTTTGGACTGCAACTCCCAGAAACCCCAGTCAGGTCAGCTGGTGGTGAAGGCTTCTGGGAGTTGCAGTCCAAAACTACTGAGTAACCCAAGGTTAAGAACCAGTGGTCTAGATAGTCTCTTAGGGTGTGACCATATAGTGAGAAAGGATTGTGTCTGAAAGGGTTGCTTTGCTGGGACTGATCTCCCTAAAAGTGGCTCTTCCATCTATGTGGGAATCGATCCAGCCTGACCTCCAAAAATAGTAACCTGGCTGCTAGACCAAAAAGGGTCTGATTCAGGCATGGAGCAGAGTTGGGCTGGTTCCCAATCTCCGGTGCATCATGTGATCACCAGAAAATGGCTCACACCAGACCATGCCACAAAGGATCCAAAATGTATGCTATTTCTCTGCTTGATTGCATCCTCAGTTTTTACCTGTTTTTAGAGGTCTATTGACAGTTTCTCAAGAGTAAACACTGTATCTGTTTCTCCTCTGCTGTAGCTACTCCTCTGCTCACAGGTCTATGAATATATTATTTCTCTTCTTCTAAAGAACTCATCTGCATGGAGGAGAGTTCTGTGCTTCACACAAGCTTCCATATGCCTACAGGAAACATCACACCTTGTCAGTTTTTGTTTCATTAAACACAGAGATAGCTTTGTTCAAATGTTGTGATCTTTCCATTTTGTTCCATTGTCTCAATGAGGGACCCCAGTTTCCACAAATGTCATTATTTCTTGTCATACCTGTAAAGTATTTTGTTAAATAATGAATGGTTACTTAAGCATACAAAATATGAACATATTGTCAGCTTGCCTTAACATTTTGATCAGATGGGGAGTGGGAGGAAGTATTGAGTGCCAATTAATCGTGGGATTTACTCCTCAGCAACTCAGGCTGTTGAGTATCAGATTATGAGCAAGAGAGCAGTATTGAAGACCACAGTTGTTTTGAAAGCGTACACATGATCTTCAAATAACTAGGATGAAGGGCTGCAGGATTTGTTATAGAAGCAGCCTAGTATTCCTCTTAGCCTGCCTTTCTCCAAGGCAGCATGCTATATTTCTCCCCTCTTCCATTTTATCTTCACAAAAACTGTGAAGATAGATTAGCCTTAGTATGGCTGGGCCAGTGTGGTTCACTAAACTTCCTAGCTAAGCTGAGATTTCAGCCGTGATTTCCTCCTTCCTCATCCTGTGGCCTATTACACTGTACTGTTATTTTAAACACAATAATGATATGCACCATGATAGACAACCCTATGCCTGTAGTGCCATCCAGTCCAGCTCCATGGCTCCAGCTAGCCCAAATCAGTACAAAGTCCAGTGGGTTTTTCCTAATATAGTAGGGCATGCTTAGACAGACACTGGCTAGGGAGATCCTGTTCTAGTACTTAAATTCTTCCATGTGTGGAGGTTTCTTTTGTGTGTGGATTAAATGAGAAGGAGAAAGAGTGTGTGAGCTTACCTTTTTGCCTACTTTCAGTGGGTGCTTAACTCTCAGAAGTCTGGGTTTGCATCACTGTGTATTGGTCTGCATTTGGAGTGCTGAATTAGGGTTGCCTCCTCTTTTATCTATACCCACCTCATCTTTAACACATAGATGACAAGCAAGTGCACCATGGTTTCCTTTATGCCACAACCTGTTGTACCTGTTGAATATGCCCAGTTCTGTTTTTTAGGATTTTACTAAAATTCTTAAATCACGTATTAGCATGGAAATAAGTTGAAGTTTAAAATAGTTGAATATGGGGATGACGTTTCCCATCCCTAGTTGGAGCCCTGATTTCCCAGGGCTCTAGCTAGGGATTTTCCAGGTTTCTGACTCACATGGAGAGCCCCCTATGCAAATGTCCTGGATAGAAGAGGCTCTCTGCTGCTCACTCACACCCTACATATGTAGAAGGCAAAGGGAGGTGGGGCTAGCATGCTCCCTCTCTTCAAGTGTTTATTCTAAACACAAACCAAACATCTGAATGGGGCTGTTCTCTTTCATCTCTGGCTCCAGCTGGTGGCTCTTGGGTTTCTGGTGAAGAAAAAGAGATTCTACAAATCTGAGGTTTGTCCAGCCATGACAGAATTCACAATGAGGAGCTGGAGCTGTGCAAGATTTCAAGCTCTCTTTGCATTAAATGAAACACCTAGATGTAGTACTAATCTCAAGTTTCCTGCTGTTCTCTTCTCCAGGATTTGAAGTCCACCTATGGAGAGTATTTTCTCCACTATCCATGAAGTGGTGGTTCCCCACCCAATGAAGTAGAACTTTCTCCATGGAAGTTTGCAATTTGTTTGATTTTTTTTAGTGGTCCAATAATGATACCACCCTACTCGACCTCCTCAATGAAAGTTATATTCTATTCACATGACTGCTCATTCTCACTCCCTTCCCTTTTCTTCTCCTTCCTCACAGACATCAGATTTGGCAGAGGTTCCTGAAGAAGGGAACAATCCAGGAAGCATGCTTGACATGAACAGGAAGCGCAGCAATAGCGGTAAGCTTGAGTCTTTCGGTTCCTTCAAATCAAAGTGTTCACATATCTTTTATTTATTTCTTCCTCCTTCCCCCCCCCCAGCAAATGTTTACAAATTGAAAAATGCCATTTCTCCCTCATAAGTCCAAACATTCTGTGGAAAATTAGAAATAGACACCATGTGTGAGCCAGATTTTGGACTTACCTCCATAACCTTGCAGATGTATCTTGAGAAGCAGCCTCACCTCCACCTCCCCAGAATTGTGAAATTTCTCATTGCTGTCTCACGTTAAATGTTTTCAGTACCATACTTGACAGAGTTCTCTATGCGTATGTCCCAACAAATATCAGCAGTATTTTAATCATTCTGTTGATTAGCATTGGACTTCTTTACTATCATCCTATCAGAAGCTTGCCAGAAGCTCAGCATATTAATTATATAGGAGCCAGTTTACATTTTATTTTCCTTAGCAAAATAGGAAAATTGCTCCTGCCCTGTGCAAAAGCTATGCTTATTGCAAAACCTTTACCATGTTCCCAAAGTTCCCATATGAATTCCTCATGGTTTCTGGCATGTAGAGTAGATTAATAAAAAATTCTTTCAGGACCACCAACATCAAATGTTGTTGTCACATGCCATCAAATCATCTCCAACTTATGGTTACCTTATGAATGAAAGCCTCCAAAATATCCTGTCCTCAACAGCCCTGCTCAGTTCTTGTAAACTCAAGCCTGTAGCTTCCTTTAGGGAGTTAGTACCTCTTGTATTTGCTCTTTCTCTTAGCCTTATGCCTTCCATTTTCCCAGCATTGTCTTTTCCAGAGAATCTTGCCTTTTCATGATGTGCCAGCCTCAGTTTCATTATTTTCAGGCTTGAGTTCAGGCTTGAGTTGATCTAGAACTCTCTTATTCATCTTTCTGCCGATCCAGAGTATTCACAAAGCTCTCCTCCAGCACCATAATTCAAAGTAATCAGTTTTTTTTCCTATCAACATCCTTTACTGTCCAACTTTCAAACTCATACATAGTGATTGGGAATACAGTAGTGTGGATGTTCTTAGTGTCTTAGCCTGCAACGACACATCTTCACACTTAATAATCTTTTCTAATTCCTTCATTGCTGCTGTTCCAAGTCTCAGCCATCTCCTGATTCCTGATAAACATGAACTAGTTATTTGTACAATGGTGCCCTGCTTGACGATTACCCCGGTAGATGACGAAATCGCTTCACGATGAGGTTTTTGCAATCGCTATTACGATCGCAAAACGATGTTTCAATGGGGAAAATCCACTTCACGACGATCGGTTCCCTGCTTCGGGAACTGATTTTTCGCTTCCAATGATCAAAAACAGCTGATCGTCGGGTTTTCAAAATGGCCACCCGCTGTTTTCCGGACCTATTTCCGGAAGACAACGATCAAAAATGGCTTCTCCTATGGAGGATCTTCGCTTTACGATGAGGTATTTCGCCCATTGGAACGCATTGAACCAGTTTTTGATGATTTCAATGGGTTTTTTTTTCTTTCACTTGATGACAATATCGCTTAACAGTGATTTTAACAGAATGGATTAATGTCATCAAACGGGGCACCACTGTATTATGTATTTGGATGGGCACAGTGCAATCTGTGGGCCACATTCAGCTCCTTCAGAAGCATTTATAGAGCTACTAAGACCACCCCAGAATTCTCCCATTTTTAAAATGAAAGGGAAAAAAACTTGGAGGGAGCAAGAAGGCCTAAATCCATTCCTCAAATCCTCTAGGAATAGCCATTTCGACACTAGAGGCATGGTCTTTCCTGTTTGCAAAAAACTGAAAAATCAAAACTAAGGTTGTTCATATGAACACTGTTTCATTGTTAGCTTCCCCATCCCCACTCCCAAAAAAGAAATTGCAGCTTTCAACATTTACCTGGGCTGGGTACAGAAGGGACTAGCTGCTTAAATTTGGTCACCAAGCCCATCAAAAGTTGCCCATACATAATAGTGTTTAGCTGTGTACTGGTATGTGGAACATATATGGGGAGTTGGATACTCTCTCCCAGCTCATTGTTTACCAAATGTCTCTCACATTTGCACAAACTGTACAGTTTGGACAGATGCATGTTGGATTCCACACATGTAAGTTCCTATACAGGGGTACCCAGTGTGGTGTAATGGACAGTGATAAGCTAAGACTCAGTAGATCTGGGCTTGAAATACTGCTTGTCATGGAAACTCACTGGACCGGGGCTGACAAAAGTACTCCTCAAATATCTCACTTATCTTCGAAAACCCTATTGGAATGACTGTCAGTTGTATGTGACTTGTGGACATAATACATGCACAGAGTATACAAACCTGATGCCGAGCTATGTATACATTCCAAACACCCTATTAGAATGACTGTCAGTTATATGTGACTTGTGGCACATAATACATGCACAGAGTATACAAACCTGATGCCGAGCTATGTATACATTCCAAACTTCAGCATAGGACACTAGTTTCTTTTATCTGATATCCTTGCTGGTAAATCATATGAAGCAATGATTTTTGCTAGCTTTTTGCTAGGGAAAAGGCAAATAGTGTGCTAAAGCTGATGTCTTATCTTTCCAGCAGTATGGAGAGTATGCATACTGAAAAGCTAAAGTAGATTGAGTGGTATATTAAAATCGGTTTGGGTAGCTTTCAATAAAACTGAACTCCCAGACAGAATGTCAGAAAACAGAGACACATCACGGATGAGTGCTGACAGTCCTGGAATGTGATTACAGTATTGCCAGCAGGTCAGAAAAGTGATGGAATCAGTGAATTTGTTTCCTTAAAGGTATCTTTTCCATAGCACTGATATGATCAATGCTTACACACCCACCCTTTAAGTCTTCTAATGAGGTCAAAAGGTGTACATCGCAGCAGCTGGTCTGGCAGATTCAGGGAAAGGGAAGGGAAAGTTACAAAATCTCTACAGCAAAAGAGAAAAACGAAAGTAAGAAAATAATGGGATTTGGATTTTAAAAAATCAAAGCAAACAGTTATTTCGGGGGCATTTTCCCCTGCAGTTGGGCTGCTGGTCCTAATATTTCTTCTGTCTTTGATTGCAGTGTTTACATATTCAGTGAATGGTACCACAGACTTTGCAGATGAACCGAAGAAATTAAACTCTACTCTACAGGTGACTTTTTATTGTGATTTCAAATTGTAAATAGTAGCAAACATACTTATAATTAAATGCCACATTTTTAAAGAAGGTTGATTTTATACAACAACGTGTTAGTAGAGGCTATTTCCAAGGCATTTTGCCCTCTAGAATAGATTGGCAATAGGTAAAGGCATCATTTGATTCTAACATCTTGATAATGCCATGAACATTTATTTTTGGGTATGGAGCTCATTGGTTGATGTTTTGAGGCCACAGCAAAACAGTCCACTTATGATTTGTATTCCTGCATCGAGCAGGGGGTTGGACCCAATGGCCTTATAGGCCCCTGCCAATTTCATTATTATATGATTTTAAGATTTGCCTTTCCTTCTGAAGGAAGATGTGTGAGATTGCTTTGACTACATAGCCATTTGGTGAAAATAGGTAGGATCTGCAACAAAATGTAGCAGTATGGAGTGCTGCTTTTCAGGATTCCAGTCAACCATTCCTCTTTTCAGAATCAAGCTATGTGGTTCAGGGTTACACAAATACAAGAGTAGGGTGATACCTTTATTGAGCCACTGAAAAATCACACAAATTACAAGATTTCATGGATAAAATCCCACTTCCTCAGGCTGGGCACTATGGATAGTGCAGTAAAACTGTAGATAAGAATCCCAAAAATTCATGGCCAATGTCTATGGTGAGTCTGCTTGTGTGCAGTGAATTCAGACTTTGTTTGTAAAGTTAACTATGGGGGTGAGGGCAGTGCAATCTCAAGAACCATCCCTTGCAGCATGGCTTGAATTTTCCATCTCAAACTCCAGACAAAGGATTTGCTAATTTCTCTGTGACTGCCACACACACCATCATATTGCTTGCTCCTGAAACACAAAGTGACTTCTGGGCTAACGGGGAGAAAACAGTATAGCAACCTCTGTTATAAAATTGAGGTTATATTTTAGTTTATTCACCAGGTAGTAGGAGCAAATTATAGCCAAAGTAGTCAAATTAATAGTTTTACCTGGTGAGTATATTTTTCTTCAGTTCGTAGTCACCTCAGAAGACTTCATAGCTAATGTCAAGAGAGTCCACATTGGTCCTCTTAGGCAGCCATTAACTCTTCTCTATAATTTTTCTGCAGTATTGAAGGAGTGTTGTTCAGCCTGAGGAAGCTTTATCCATGAAAGCTGGCAATTTGTTTGATATTTTAGTGGTTTGATAAAGTTATCACCCTACTCTATTCAGAATATTACACTCTGTTTCCATTTTGTAGCCACCAGGTGTGCTCAATCAGTCTTCATTGGGCTATTTGAATGTCTATATTTCCAGAAAGACATTTTGTACTTCTCCAAACTTCTGATACTTTCCTAGTGTGCATGGATGACACCATTTCAGCTGTATAATTATCCACAATTAAAGAATGCACCATTCACATGTGGAATGCTTCCAGGAATTCCGAAAGAGTCTTATCTCTAGAAAATATTCAGTGCTTATTATCAGGATTTTGTCTCATGGACATGATTCAGGTGAACTCACAGTGATGTAGAAGCCATTTACCTAAAATGGATAAATGATCTCACACCATGGGATGTCCCCACCTGATGGTTGTCCTTGATATTGGCTCCATCCTTTGATCCATTCATTCATCCAAATTTCTGGCTACCCTGGGATTGCATAGTAGGAAAACAGCCCCCACTCAATTGTAGTTTCTTATAAATTAGGCCTTATTTATGTCCCTAATAAAATGGGTCATCTGAAGAATTCAGAGCAGAGCTGAGGAACCTATGGTCCCTCAGTTACTGAAGAACTACTTATCTACAGGGGTACCTCGATTTATGACCATAATCCATTCCAGAAGATGGACGTAACTCAAAATGGTCTTAAGTCGAAGCATGCATTCCCATAGGAATGCATGGGAATGCAATTAATTCATTCCAGCCCAAAAAAAAACCCAAAATAAAATACAAATAAAACACTGCAAGCCCCATAGGAACATGCTGGGGCTGCAAAAAAAATAATAATAACCTAAAAACAAACACAGCATAGAAACATAAACATTCCAGCCCAAGACCACCCTGCAAAACCCACCCAGAACAGTTTTTAAAAAGCAAAAAGCAGCATCTTACTTTAGCAGGCTTCCTTTGGCGCCGCCTCCAGAGCCGGGATCGGGGCCAGAGCAGCACTGGTGCCAGAATGGGAGGCAGCATTGGGCACCCCCAGCGGGCGAGCCACCTGCTGTTCGGACCCAGTGGCACCGGTCCCGCGGAGGGCAGCAAGGAGCATCGAGGCCCGACACAGCCACCCAGGTGACCAGCTGCTGTAGCCGGAGCAGGAGGCACCGTCAGGCACCACTGGCGGGTGAGCCAACTGCTGCTCAGGAGCCACCCACCGGCGGAGGAGGGGAGCTGCCCCTGCAGGGGCCAAGGGCTGAGCGCGACCCCGCCATGCCACGGGTGGCAGTGCAGGAGGACCCTTCCTCCAGGAGCTGGGATTGGGGAGCCCTCCGCCCCCACACCGAGGCTGAGGACCAGGACCCAGCAGCAGCAGTAGCATCGGCCCCCGGGGTGGGCAGCGAGGAGCGCCGAGGGACGCCCCCGCCTCCCCCTGCTACTGCATCCCTTTCCCTAATCGTTGGGGCAAAAGAGCTACAAAGAAGCAGCTCTTCGGCACCAATGGTTAGTACATATGAATTTCCCACCCCTTTCCTCTGCCTTTTCCTGGTCGTAAGTGGAAGCTCCAGCCACAAGTTGAAGCAAAGTTTTGCGACCATAGCTGGTCATAACTCAAAATGATCGTAAGCAGGGACGGTTGTAAGTCAAGGCACCACTGTAACTACATTTGTGCCTATTAGACATTACAGTGTTTTATTAACAATTATTGCCACCTCCGGGAGCCAGGACCCTTCCACCCCCTCGCTGAGGAGAGCCGAGGAGCGCCAAAGCTTGACGCAGCCACCCTGGTGAGCAGCCGCTGGAACCAGTGCCGGTGCTGGAGCAGGAGGCAGCATCGGGCTTTAGAGCAGAGCTGAGGAAACTATGGTCCCTCGGGTACTGAAGAACTACTCTTCTTATCTACAGGGGTGCCTCGACTTATGACCATAATCCATTCCAGAAGATGGACGTAACTCAAAATGGTCTTAAGTCCATTTTGGACTTAAGACCAAATGGTCTTTAAGTCCATTAATCCAATGCAATTAATCCATTCCAGGGAATGCAGTTAATCCATTCCAGCCCCAAAAAAACCCAAAATAAAATAAAAATAAAACACTGCAAGCCCCATAGGAATATGCTGGGGCTGCAAAAAAAAAAAAAACAACCTAAAAACAAACACAGCATAGAAACATAAACACCCCAGCCCAAAACCACCCTGCAAAACCTACCCAGAACAGTTTTTTGAAAAGCAAAAAGCAGCATCTTACTTTAGCAGGCTTCCTTCGGTGCCCCCTCCGGGAGCCAGGATTGGGGGCCTTTCCGGCCCCGTGCTGAGGAGAGGCAAGGAGTGCCAAAGCTTGACACAGCCACCCCAGCGAGCAGCCGCTGGAGCCATTGCCAGTGGTGGAGCAGGAGGCAGCATCGGGCACCACTGGTGGGTGAGCCACCTGCTGCTCAGGAGCCGCCCGCCGGTAGAGAAGGGGAGCCGCCCCCACGGGGCCAAGGGATAAGCACGGCCCCACCATGCTAGGGCCGGAGGCACGGGAGGACCCTTCCTCCTGAGGCCGAGGACCGGAACTCAGTAGCAGCAGTGGCATCCGCCCCGTGAAGGGCTGCAAGGAACACCGAGGGACACTGCTACTGCATCCCTTTCTCTAACTGTTGGGGTGAAAGAGCTACAAAGAAGCAGCCTCTTCGCCATCAATGGTAGTACATTTCCCACCCCTTTCCCCTGCCTTTTCCTGGTCATAAGTGGATGCTCTGGATGCAACTCTACACAAAATTTTGCGGCCAGAGCTGGTCGTAGCTCGAAATGGTCATAAGTAGGGATGATCATAAGTCGAGGCACCACTGTATTATGCTTGAACATGGTGGCTATGGAGGGGTAAAATATCTGGAGAGAACTAAGTGATAGAAGGCTGCTGTGGAGCATATAGCACACTTGAAAGTTTAGAAGTTGTGTTTCAAAATCCATTTGGACATAGTCAAATAATAAACATCAGCAATAATGTTCTGTAGCCAAGAGCTGAGTAAAATGGAAGTAGAGAAGATTGAAATCAGCCATGGCTATTCATCCTCCTATCTCTACAAACAAAATATCCTGCTTCAAAACAGCATCTTATTTCCAGAGAGTGTTATGTGTGAATTTTGCCTGTTGCCCTGGTCTGTTCAAGACACTTCATGACCAAATAGATACCAAGATGTCCTCTTCTTTTTCTCCTCTTATTGAAGGGATCTCATAATAAAGACAAAGTACAGATGAACACCTATGTTGCCTTGTACAAATTTGCACCACAGGAAAATGAAGATTTGGAAATGAGGTAAAGTTTTGTATAGTGGGATATTTGATTTCTTGGAATGCAGAGAGGTGTGTTTTGTTGTAGGCATATTCATACAATGATGATCATTCTGCCTCTCTATAAGGCCCTGCTATGTTGAAATTGGTCAACAGATTAACAGAATGTATGAGCAAACAGCCCTGTCCAAAATTAGCTCTATTTACAGTACACCCACTGAAACCAATGAGACTTAGTTATGACTATGAAGTGCCCCTTTTTTCATTGAATCTTTGGGAGGTGCCAGGTTGTTACCAGCCAAAGCATCTAAGCAGTCCTAATAGTCCTACTTTAGAATCGCAAACCTTTAAGGAGAAGATGGGTAGGATCAGAAAAGTAGCTGGGATGGGGATGCTTAACCTTTTACCAATTCCAAATCCCCACCAACAACAACTTTTCATTGCTTTGGATTCCATGCATGTCTTTAACCTCTCACCCTGCCGCTTCCATAGTCCCAGTTTCCTGCTCCTAAGAAGCCATATGTTTGCAAGTTACATGTTTGCATAGGAAGAATACTTTGGGCCAAACTTGAATAAAATCCTTATACTCAGAGCTGACACCCAGTGTGGTGTGGTGGATAGAATGATGGACTAGGACCACAAGTCCTGAGTTCAAATCCCCACCATGGAGATATGAAACTGGTAAACCTACTCCTTAAATATCTCACTTATTTTGAAATCCCTATGAGGGTCTCTGTAATTTGGTTCTGACTTGACAGCACATGACAACAACTGAGAACTAGAGGCTACTGAGTGAATCGCTCTGGCAATTGCTCAGCTTCACACTTCTGAGCCCCGGTTGCCAACACCCATTTTGTCCTGCCACTTAATCACCCCTATCACTGCCACTGCCATCTCTTGATCAGCTGGGGAACGAAAAATCAGAGTTGAGGAACAGAGTTGCCTAGTAACCATGTGCATGCTTTCTTTTGCTCTTCCTAAGAAAGGTGTATCATATACATCGGCACCATCTAAAATGACTGAATAATGTATAATTTGTTCACTGACTCTGATAAGGACAGCCCAAGAGCTTGATTCTAGCCCGTGTAAAACTGTTGGCAAATCCAGTTGAGTGCAATGAGGTTTATGTTAGTCAATTTTGCTAGTTTATGCTATTGAATTTGGTAGGCACTTTAGCTTGATAATGGGCAACAGATTTAAGACCCAGAACTGGATGACTGTGGCTAAAAATTACAAATAATTCTACATGGCACATTGTTGGAATGAGAAACTGTAGGATTCACTGATCTTATTATACAGTGGTGCCTCGCATAACGAGTGCACCATTTAACGACGAATCCGCATAGCGATCTATTTTTTTTAGATCGCTAACGCGATCGCATTGCAATGTTTTAATGGGTAAAACATCGCATTGCGATGATCAGTAAGCGTTTCGCTTACCGATCTTCGCATTGCAATGTTCCTAGATCAGCTGATCGGCGGTTCCAAAATGGCTGCCGGGTGCCCAAAATGGCCATCGCAAGTGTTTTCGCGCCCTGCCCTCGCTTACCGAGGGCACAAAAATTGGCGGCGCTATGGAGGAACTTCGCTGAACGGTGAGTTTGGGCCCCAAATGCGTTCCTATGGCTTTTTCCGTTCCCTTTAGCGATGTTTCCTCATAGCGACGATTAATCCGGAACGGATTAACGACGCTATGCAGGGCACCACTGTACATTGATCTGCACATTGTATACTGACACATTAATTGACATGCACTGCAATCTTCCTTATGTTTCTGTTTTCTAATTATAGGCCAGGAGATAGAATCACACTTCTGGAGGATTCAAATGAAGACTGGTGGAAGGTACTATCAAAATATTGTCAGTAATTATCAGCACAGCATCATAATGTGCACTTGAACTGGAATGCATCAGTACAAATGTATTTGGCACCGAATCCTATGTGCTGCTGCACTGGAGCAGCACTTTGGAAGCTTGAGATCCAGTTTTTTAGCTTCATTCTTAAAGAGAGGCACAACAACAACAACAACAACAACAACAACAACAACAACAACAACAACAACAACAACAACAACAACAACAACAATGTGGTGTCAAGTCATTTCTGAGTTCTGACAACCCTTTAATAATAATAATAATACAACTTAGATAGCAACTCAGATACCTGAAAGACTGCAGTTTTAAAAACATCAGGGGAAACTTTTCTCTCAGCCCACCCATCCTCGTAGGTGTCTTTGGTAAAGATACGAGAGAGGGCCTTCTCTATCACTGTGGGACTCCCTCCCACAGGAGGCCAGGCAGGCCTCCCCTTTACTGTTTTTTCACAGGCAGGCAAAGACCTTTCTGTTCAAGCAGGCATTTTCTCTGTTACTTGCTGTCAAAATAAAAACAGAGCTGATGAGGTTTTTAAAAATAAAGTTAATATTGTGTGTCTTAATATTGTAAGCTGCCTTGGATCCCCATCAGTGAAGGGGCTTTGGCAGTGAAGGAGATGGGGGGGGTAGAGAGGACTGCTTGTAACACCAACCACCATATCATGGCAAGAGGATATTGTAAGAAGCACCATATCCTTGGGAGCCCTGTATGCCTAGCATCATCCTAGCCAATCCAGCATTTAAGAACTTTTCCCTTCATCCTCGGGATAAGATGCCACTTCCGTGCAGCCACTCAAACCTCCAGGCATCCGGTCAAGTGATGTGGCAATGAAATTCCTAGTGCAATGGTCGGAGCAGCAGACGAGGACTAGTGGAGCTTCAGTTCTAATCTCTTTTCATTTATGGTTCTCACTGGATAATTTCTGGGCTAGTAATCATTTCTATGGTCTTACTGTGAACACCAGAGAGAAGAAGCAAGCTATAAAAGTAAGAGATACACAGCAAAATGATGTGCTATAATATCCTGTATGTTCTCTTTCCAGGGAAAAATAGAAGATCGAGTTGGCTTTTTCCCTGCCAATTTTGTCCAAAGATTACAAAATGAAAAGGTTTTCAGATGTATCAGAACATTTATTGGGTGCAAGGAGCAGGGACAGATAACTCTGAAAGAGAATCAAGTGAGTAAACTTGGAACTATTTCCTCCATATTAACATTTTCATGACTTACTTCCTTTTTTCTTATACAGTGGTGCCTCGCACAAAGAGTGCCTCACACAACGATAAATTCACACAACAATGGCTTTTTCTGAAAAATTTGCCGCCTCACACAACGATGTTTCCTATGGGGAATTTTCGCACAACGATGTCTCTTTTCACTCATTTAAAAGTGCCTTAAACTGATTGAAACCTGTTTTAAATGCTTGGCATCAACAGTCCAGCTTGTGAAACGTAAGCAAACTTAATTTGGTGTTGTTCTGAGTCTTCGTTAATTTTTGGTGAATTTTTTTATTTTCCATTGAAAGCCATTGGACGGACCGTTCAATGGCTTTCAATGGAGAATTAAAAAATTCACCAAAAATTAACGAAGACTCAGAACAAAACCAAATTAAGTTTGCGTAGGTTTCAGGAGGTGGGCTAACGATTGCAGTCATTTAAAAAAGGTTTCAAACAGTTTAAGACACTTTTACAGGAGTGAAAAGGGACTTCACAAACCCATTCAAATGCATTGAGTCGGCTTCAATGCATTTCAATTGGGGAACCGCGTTTCCCACAACGATGTTTCCTATGCCAATTTTCATTTAAGGATGGCAATCCGTTCCAATTGGAACGGATTAACCGGTTTTCAATGCATTCCTATGGGAAATGGTGTTTCACAGGACAATGTTTTCACAGAACGGGTTTTGTTTTTGTTTTTTGAACCAATTAACATCGTTGTGCGAGGCACCACTGTACAGCTCTCCGTCGCAGCCCATATTCATGCTCCCAGAAATTCTATTCATATATGAAGATCAAGGCGATCAGTCATGATAGTTTCAGAAGCAGTTGCATCCATATATTTTAAAAAATAGGAAAGTTCACAAGGGCATATTCCTCTTTTTGTGATAGCAGCTTTCAGTAATAACTTGTGAAATAATCACTTCAGAAGGAGTTACGTAATTCTCCCGGATGTTGCAGCCAGGTGATGTTGAATTTGTAAATACAAATTGCCAATAAGGTCCAAGGAAAGGAGCTTAGATTGAGGCAAAATGGTTATGAAAATGTTTACAATAACAAAACATATAGGGCTATTTTTTCCCATCAATCCATGGTAATCTGGCTGACACTGGACAGTTAACTCAATTAATACAAAGCTATTCCATAATAAGGCATGAGTGACTCATTATCTGTTTATTAAAAGACATTATTAAGAAAGCTGTAGTCTGTTTTGACAGTGCCTTTGTTGCCTCTGACATGGAGCTGTGCATCCCAGATTTTGGCATTAGATTTTGGTATTATTGAACCTTGTGTACACAAAGGAAAGAACAAAGCTCAAAAAGGCATTAAAGAAAGAGGTGCTTCTGGTGCTTCAAGGTACATGCAGTTCATGAGTGTAGATATGTGTAAGGATTGCTAAACATCAAAGCTTTGGGAATTTTGGATTTTGGACTAAAACTCCCAAAATCTCTCAGATGATTCTGAGAGTTATAATGTAAAAATATAATGTTTTCCAAAATTTGAAAAATGACTACGGATTATCACTGATTCAAGACAGAGAAAACAAGCAATGCAAGAAGCTGGGCTTTAATTACGGAAATCCATTCATGCAGAATCAGGCCCCCTCCATTTCATGGCAGCACGGAAATTCATTCATGCAGACTGCTCAGAATCAGGCCCCCTCCATTTCATGGCAGAATGCTGAAAAAGTGTTGGCAGATTCCTATGGTGAGATCCTGCCCATTAGTGGCTCATTACCTGGGTCAGCAGAAACACACCGTTTGAAAGAGTGTCTTCCCTTTAGTTCTGCTGGCAGGTTGATTTAGCTAAATCATGCACATTTAAATTTACAAGATGAAGCAGTGTTCTGTCTTCTGAAGATTATACAGAGATTAAGATCTGTGTTCAACTCACTGCTGAATGGAAACACTCACATGATCATTTGTTCCCTGAGCCTACGGTGGTTTCCTTCTTTGTTTTCAGCTCGTGCTGAATGTCGCAAACAGAAATACATCCAGTGCTAACCTTTCCACAGACTCTCCAGCACATTGATATGGTGCAGCAAGTTGTGAATATACAAACCGTAAAGTGCTCCTTGCAGGAAACGAGGGAAGTTTTTATGCACGGTGTTATATCAACAGCAGTAATGCATAACATTATTCAGATGGGCACAGATATTTTTAGTAGCCCTTACACATGCCAGATTGCTTGGCCTAGACAGCGAGGCAATTGGTGTTTATATGGCTTTGTACCCTTCTGCTTTCAAGTTGATGTAAACCTTTGGAGCTAAACTCAGGCATAGAGAAACAGAAAACAGCTTGTTTTGTGCATAGGCTTTTGGAGCTATTGCACAAGGCCTTCCTTGAAAAGATTCTCACAAATAAACAACTTTACAATCACCAATAGGAGTGAATTCAATATTGAACCCCTGTGAGGCCCAGCGGAAGTTTATAACACAAAGAAAGAATGGCTCAACTAAGTCCAAGAAGGTGCCAGCATGGTGAATCAGCAGAGTTACAGAGGCTTTAAAGGGCAAGGAGGGGTCCTTCCATAAATGGAAATCCTTCCCAAATGAGGGAAGTAAAGAGGAACACAAACTCTGGCAAAAGAAATGTTAGAAGATGATACAGAAGGCAAAGAAAGTCTTTGAGGAATGTATGGCCAGCAATATAAAGGGGAATAATAGAAGCTTCTTTAAATATGTTAGAAGCGGGAAACCTGCCAGAGAAGTGGTTGGCCCTCTGGATGGTGAGGGACAGAAAGGGGGACTTGGAAATTGCCAAGAAATTAAATGAGTTCTTCACATCTGTCTTCACGACAGAAGACCTTGGGCAGATTCCACTGCCCAAACATCCCCCCACTGACTAATGAATTAAAGATACAGGTTTAAAGAGAGGATGTTTTAGATCTGATTGATAAATTGAAGATCAGTAGGTCACCGGGCCCAGATGGCATCCATCCAAGGGTTATTAAGGAACCTGGGAATGAGGTTGCTGATCTCTTAACTGAAACATACAACTTGTCCCTTAAAATGGCCACAGTGCCAGAGGACCGGAGGATAGCACGTCACACCAATCTTTAAAAAGGGAAGGAGGGGGGACCTGAGAAACTAAAGGCCGGTTAGCCTAAAGTCTGTTCCAGGGAAGATGGTGGAAAGCCTCATCCAAGATAAAATCTTAAAGTACATAGAAGAACAAGCCTTGCTGAGGGAAAATCAGCATGGCTTCTGTAAGGGTAAGTCTTGCCTCACAAACCATTTAGAATTCTTTGAAAAGGTCAACAGGCATGTGGATGCTGGCGAACCAGTGGATATTGTCTATCTGGATTTTCAGAAGGCGTTTGATGCAGTCCCTCACCAAAGGGAAACTCCACAATCAGGGGTTAAGAGAGCAGGGCCTCTTATGGACTGAGAATTGGTTGATAACCAGGAAACAGAGAGTAGGTGTCAATGAGCAATTTTCACAATGGAGAGAGATGAAAAGTGGTGTGCCCCAGGGATCTGTCCTGGGACCGGTGCTTTTCAACCTGTTCATAAATGACCTAGAGACAGGAATAAACAGTCGAGTAGCCAAATTTGCAAATGATATGAAACTTTTCTGGCTGGTGAAGACCAGAAGGGATTGTGAAGAGCTCCAGAAGGATCTCTCCAAACTGGGAGAATGGGCGGTAAAATGGCAAATGTGTTTAAAAGGGGATTGGACAGATTTCTGGAGGAAAAGTCCATCGCAGGTTATAATGGGGATGTAGAATCCCCAAGCTTAAAAGGAAGGTACCTCAAAATGCCAGACACAAGGGAGTAGTATCAGGAGACAGGTATCTAGTTGTCTTGTGTGCTCTCAGAGGCATCTGGTGGGGCCGCTGTGAGATACAGGAAGGTGGACTAGATGGGCCTTTGGCCCATATGTTCTTATGATGTAAGGCTGAGCATATAATGTATGGGCTGTGTGGAGTGATAGAAACAGCTGGAAAGAGGGCATGGTAAGAGATGGGAAAGAGTGCTAAGCCAGTCTTGACATCATTCTGCTCAGGTTGTATTTGTTAGATATTGTCAGTTTCTTTTATTTCTTTTTTTTAAAGAAATCCTAGCTATAAATAAGAATATGCAGTCCATGCATGTACAGGTGGAACATATCCAGATTTTCCCAGGGGAAAATTTGAAATTTTTGGATAATTTCTGAGATAATCTAAGGGGAGTTTAGGAACATTCTGGTCTTCATAGGACTGGCCTAATGAACCTTGCTTTTGCCACATCTCAGTTTAGGGAATACTGTATTTCAGTAACATACCTGAAACATTAGGAATTTGTGGAAAGAGGAGTCCTGCTTTCAGTTGCAGCTTATTGATTATGAATCACAAATTTTGCCTCCAGACAGAGTGTCAAAGTGATTTTATGCAGCCATCTTTGCTCGCGGTATGAGTACTCATTCCAGTGTGGTGTCTGTTCACAAACTTTGCAGGTTTTCAAAGGCTGGCATTGACAACAGCATTTTAGTGCTGAAAGTGGTATGACAGCTGCAGAATTGCCTACGGTGTGCATGCACATGTGTTTTGTCACATTTTCGCTGCAAGTCAACAAGTTTTGTCAGATTTTAGAAGCATGATAAAAACCAAGATCCGCTTGGTAGAGACAACAATAGATTTAGGGCATATATCTATTCCATATCACTGTCTAATCCTTATATTTGTTTTTAAAACTGCAAACCAAAGATAACAGAAATACAAAAGAAATTAGTGTGCCATATATAGCAGGCAGCTATGCTTCAATTATATTAAAATGTTTAATTCGGGAATCAGCTCTTGTGTAGCTTTTGCTCAATTGCCCATTGTCTCCAAAAGGAAACCTAGAAGTTCAGAGGTTCATCCTAATTTGTATGTGTGGCACCAGAGGTTCCACACATTCCCTTCCCCTGCCTCCCCAGCCAATGACCTAATCGCCAGTTGGAGCACACTCCTCTCCTCCTTCTCTTTGACCAGTGCCCAGCAGAAGCATGAGTTTGCCTGTCCTCAACATTCCCTCTAATTTTCAGCCTCTGTGTGGGCGCGCAACTCTACCCGTATGGGTGTGGTGCTCCATTGTGACTGGAACTAAAGGACCTGAAAACAATCACTGCACAGAAGGGAAGGACTGCTTAGAGGCAACCTTGCCTGTCCTGCCTCATTGTCTGGGTGGGCGATCAGCCAAGGAGGTGGGGCAGGGAAGCCTGTGCTGCTGCCGGACACTGGTTGAACAGCTGAAGATTAGGAGGAGAGGAGCACTTGTTGGCTGGTGAGTGGGGGATCCAGCCGGGGAAATGGGGGAAGGTCACTCGTATGAAACAGCATGAACCTCTGAACCGAGGTCGTGCCCATCTCTAGTTCAAAGTGCTTAATATTCTCTTGCTGTTAAAACAACTTTGTCTTCCTACTCAGGGGGGTTATGGATTTTTTTGAAAAAAATTATTTGAGACAGGGTTATTCCTATAGAACTTACAGTACCCTAAAAAATTTTTAGTTTATCTAGTGGGCATATACTTTACAACTTCAATTTTTCTGTTTAATTTTCTTTTACGAATAGTTTAGAAATAACACTGAAATATTTACTGAGTTATTTATATGACTGCTGCTCCAAGAAGGCCTACAGAGTAATTCTGATTTATGATCTTTTCCTGTAATAAAAAAAATGACTGTACTAAAGAAGTTGCAGGAAATGCATTAATTCACATAAACTGAAAGAGCAATGAAGATGTAAAACTCTAGAATAAAGCACTGTGCTTTAAATACAGCCACACTTTTTAAAAAAAGAGACCTGAGATAACCCTTATAAATGACATGCATTTTTCTTAGCAGGAAGGGTTAGCTCTGCAATTCAACAGGTCATTGGCTAATAATGTCTGTGAACTCTTCTTCAAGGCAGATCTGAACAATGCATTTCTGCACATTGTGATCAACCAGCAATGTATTGTAGACTCCCAGATTATTTTTCTAATCCAGAAAGAACAAAAGGTTTTTTTTTAACACTCTACCATTTGTTTGTTCATTTTCCTGATAATAGAATATGGTTCCAAAAAAAGAAATATATGGATATAGCATGTTAAGTCAAACACTATTTCTTTAGCTTTTGAAGGTGAAACTAAACATAATTAGAATGCTACACATCATTAGAAGCAAGAATTCATTAAGTATTGAAAGATGTCTGATTGTTACTGCATGAGCTTTTCACACACATCCAGTTAGCTAGCTTTCTTTTTTGATAGATCATTGAGAGGTAAACACAGGCTTTGCTTGCAAGTATAGTTACTCAGGTATGAAGGACTGATAGAACACTGATGTGATTTCAGGTTCTAAAAACATTCTATCTATATTATTTGACCTTCAGAGTTGCACAGTAGTCGTGTTTTTTCAGCATAAGAAAACTAAATTATCTGTTATTTCTGGCATGTTGAAAATTGTAAAGTTAATATTGCAACAGTTTCTTCTTTTCAAATATTTTTATTAACATTGCTATGAACACAATATTACATCAGATGTTATATTTCCTTGGAATTTATTCTAGCCAATTTAAAACTACCTGTATCCACCTTTTACCTTACTGTAACCTTTGGTACTGATGATGTTCACAACAACAAATCATAAGGATACACTTTATTATTCCAAAACATGACAAGAACATATTATACTATATAACTGTAGTCTACCCGTGTAACCTCTCTAATTCTAATTGGCAGCTTCAAGACATATGCCACTTCCCAACCCTTATCATTGTTTCTCTTAGTGATGGGATGTCTTTTTATTACCCTTTATAAATCTAGTGCCATTTTAGCAACCATGTCTTCTATCCTGCCAAGTACTTGACAGCACTCTCACCTCTGCAATTCCAGTCAAGCAGAAAGAGCCAGGTGTTCATTGAGGCCCTGCTGAGCTCCATACATACCTGGTTGATGAAGGATGTTTGGCTTGGCAGACCACAGAGTATGAAGATCTGCCTTAAGGAATGAGCACTGATTGACCAATGTTCTGGGGGAAAGGCTATCACTCTGAAGACATTCCCAAGCTCAAGGAACAGGCAGAACCCAAGACAATTTATTTTTAGGGAAAAGCAGGGATAGGAAAAGACTGCTAATATTAGACCATGTTTACAATCTGTCAAGACCAACAAGGCCAGTTCAGAAATAGCCTATGAACTATATGGTCTTCTAGACAGTTTCTGTGTACTTCAACGTCAGTGCATGTTGTTAATTTCTGTGAAAGTGAATAATTGGGGGGGGGGAGTGATTTCCAAATCCTCTTTCATGGTTTGTTTAAAAAGAAGAAGAAGAAGAAGAATCAAAAGATAGATCTGAAGAAACAGTGTTACAGTTGCTATCCCACTTACACCTTCCATAGACTGAGGAGCAATTCTCTGGGTAATTAGAGAATTTAGTCTGAGGTGTGTGATCAGTATTCATTTATTTTTGTTTATCTTTCATTGCCTTCTGTGCCATCAAGTCAGAAGCAATTTATAGCATCCTTAATAGGGCTTTCATGGTAAGAGATATTTAGGGAGTTCCTTAATAGTGCTTTCATGGTAAGAGATATTTAGGGAGTGGTTTTACCAATTGCACTCCCCTGGTCAGTTTCCATGGCTGAGTGGAGATTTGAACCCAGAGTCCTAATCCATCACTCTGTCCACTTTAGTACACTTGGAAAGTTAACCTTCATTAGATACTCAAAATTGTCTGTACAGTTCACATATTATATGTTTGGATTCACAGTGGCACAATGTAAGACAGGTACAGTACACACAAATCCACAGTCTAAATGTGCTGACTCCAAGATAAAGTTATCTGTGTGCCCAGCCCACCAAAAATGTTCCAGTGACTTCTTTGGTTAAATGAATAGCTTATAGGTGAGAAGACTATATGAAAACTCTTGCCCATAAAAAAACTCAGAGCATAACTGGGTGAGATTGTGGGGCAAAAGTTCCCTGCCTAACTAACACACACCCCATTTCTTTTAATAAACTATCCCTGTGGCTATTTGTAATCTATCTAGCATTTCTGTTGCTAATATGCTGCAGAGAAATTAAGCATTTGTTTCTTGCCCTTAGACTGTTTCAAAGCAGAGTCTTTGCCATGACAGTTTAGAAACCATTACTTAGCTAGTACACCTACTTTATTTAGTATTTTGTCTTGCCAAGACTACTTGGTAAAGCCAGGCAACTGTCAGCTAGACTTCCTATGAGAACCAACATGTACCCAAGAGTTCTTGAAGGTCCTGGCTTTGATCAGTGAGTTTCATTTGACTTTCATGGCTGTGGTAACAAAATGAAACATGTTCCTTTATCTTGATTCCTCACATTTCTCTTCATTCTGAGATGACGCTCTGTGTGTGCCTTATTTGTGTACCTTGACTAGCTGTACTGTGAGGTCCGTATTAGCAAAAGTATTGTTTAGGATAGTTAGCTTTCTCATTTTGACTCATGCATTTTATTCAAAATAAATCTTCTAATTATTTGTACAGTTTAAGTTTTTTCTCCTTAGTCAATCACAAACTGAAAAACAACAATCCTTCCCCACAGGTTATGTGTGTGGTTGTGTCTGAATACTCTTAGAAGAGTTCCAACTTTGCAGCCTCCAAGAAGAAAGTCAGTTGTAAAGTGAGGAGGTCGGCTTCAGCTGAGCCACGAAGCTTCACCATCCCAGTGGGAGCTGCTAAGATTTCCTTGATAAACATGGCTGTTAAGTATGGGAAATGTTAACATTCCTCTCTGTTCTTGTCTTAGATCTGTGTGACTTCAGAAGAGGAACATGATGGCTTTATCAAAGTATGCAGTGGGAAGAAAAAGGGCTTCGTCCCCATCGATGTCTTGGAGAACATCTGATCTGTCCCCACGCTGCCAACTGCAGTCGTGACAGTTTGCCGGCCAGGCCTGTCTGCCTCATCTTGCACTGTGTCAACCCAAATAAGCCGTCTTGCAGATGAACAGAGAAATCATGAGACAAGCACAAGGATCAGTTGCTGTCAGACATTTGAGCTGCTCTTTAGCAACAAGAAATGATTGATGAACCACACATTGTCCTGACTGGGGCGGGGGGGGGGGGTTGAAACAAACGTAGTAGGGGGCCCAAAGGGAGGATGAAGTGTTTGTACTTTTAAAAAGAACCTGGAAAATATTAAACTGGATGATTTTTCTGTGCAAGGCTGCGAACTGTTGCCCTAATGGAAAGAAACATCTGAAAATATTAAATTTGCACGCTGTTCACAAGTCTTAGGAAAATGTTTTGGAATTTTCTTTTCTCATTTGAAGTGTGATTGAAAGGGCAAGGTTCAGACTTTTTCCTTGTACTATTACGGCTTGATGCTTGAAATGTATAGTGTGAGTCTGGTCCTGAAATGTTGTCTAAGATTTTAGTGAAACAGCATCAATGTTCGGTTCTGACCTTTTTTTGTAGCAAAGATGTTTGGGTGAATTGTGCTGACCTCAGTTTAGGAAAAGTATGACAGCCTCGACTAATATCTCTGTGATGTTTAACGTGTGTTGGTGTGATGAGCTTGTATGTCCTTTGGGTTTCTTCTTTACAAGCAGAGATTTTAGCACGTTGGATGTAAATGCTGTTAAACAGCAAATGAGCAGACACTGTCCCTCCAGTTCAGGCTCCGTTAGAAGTAGCTGCCTGATCCCTATGAAAAGAAGATTATTGCTGGAAACATGGAGCTGGGTTACAGATCTGCTGAAGAAATTTTCTGCTTTTCTGATCCTGCTTGAACATATTTTACACGTATGTACATAGCATGGCCCTGCTTCTCTGAAGAACCAATTCTGTTTCACAGAGGCAAGGGAGCAAATTCTTGCTGATTTTTAAAAAATGACTGGGGAAAAAATCATTTTGAGTTAGCATGTTGAAATGCAAAGTATTTGGCAGTTCACCCGGAAGCACATACTAGCCACAACCTAGCACAGAATTAAGCACCCTGAAGCCTTTCACAGTCTTAAGCCTGCCTGGTCTACATTGTGGCCACAGATGGAAACTGCAGCTGCAAAGTTGGAATCTCAATCTCTATTTCAATTTCTGTTTTGATGCCCAAACCAAGCAACATTCTTCAAAAACTAACTTAAACTTAGTGGTCAGCTTGTTTTTCCTCTTCCAATGTCAATGGACGGATGCTGAGGTTATGATCTCTTGGGCTGAAACAGGGTGGTGAAGATGTCGCCCTCCAGATGTTAAACTACTGCTCTCATTCCATCTCATCAATGGAAATGCTAGTCACAGCTGGTGGAAGTTTCAGGTTAGCAACAACTGGAGGGCCAAATCCTTCCCAGTCCTAACTGAAAATGTTTGTTAGGAATGTCACAGTTGAGAGGCATAAAAATAATGTGAATTGATCACTGTATTGTAAGGAGTCCTAAGCCCCTTAATATTGTTAATTCATTTATGGGAAAGGTATGGAAGGAAGAGAATGACATTAGTTCTGGGGTGAAATTAATTTAAGAAACTTGATGTCCTCATCTAACTTAATATTCTCTTTAATAAAAAGCATGTAGCTGTGAGCAGGGAATTGAAGAGCCTGTCTCTTTACATTTGTGGGGCTTGGGAGGTGAAGATAATTTTTTGGAATGTGAAGAAGAGGAAACAATGTTCCTTTTCTAATAACAGGCTGCTCTTATCCCTACATATAATAGAACATTACCTCTAGCCCTTAGAGTCTCCTGATTTTGGCATCCTCACAGAATGACCTTGCTGGATTAAATGGATGTTGACAACTCTAAGCAGACAGCCAATGGCCATACTTCAGTCTTCACCTCTTGCCTTGCACTCCAGTCTGTGGCTGAATCGCAGTGTGCGATTGAGACCAGAGACGGTGCAGTTGGAAAGTTCTAGTCCACACTTTGTATTAGCAAAGGGCTGCTGTGTCCAGCACTAACTTACTTTTTGGCTTTTGAACCTGCATCCCAAACCTGCAGTTACCCTTGCTGTCATGGGAATGCTTGATGCATGCTTGCCTCAACACAGTCATAGGGGCTAGATGTAGGTTTACAGATCCATAGACTCAATTAGCTTGAAGAACCTTGCTGCTCTTTAGTTCTTAAATGGAGTGGCTTTAGATACTACTGACAACCATTCCATTGTTTTCTAGGTCTTGTATGTATAATAAAAAAACATCCACAAAGGGGAAAAAGAATAAGTTTCATATCTTAGACAGTAGGAATGCTAGAAATATTTATTATATTTCAAACAAAATTTATGAACATTTTTGCAGTTCAGTTCGTATTGCAAAGGAAAATCAGGTAACACAGAATTAGAAAAGAAGAATCTTTATGACAAAGAATAGCAGAGATATTATCAGCCCAGCCTGCATTGTGTCATCTGTTTATTTGAAATTCATTGATATGAGGCAAGGGATCCAGCAATGACTGCTGAAAATTTAAAATTAATGCTATGGTTAGTGTCTTTTGTTCTGCAAGGACTACGTAGAACTATACATCCATCCATACGTTCTGCTGTTTACTTGAATGCAACATACTGTGATTTTGTCCTACTTCTGTTGCTTCTGTTATTTCAGATTTTCCTTCAGTCCTGCCTCATAGGATCGAGATGAATATTAATTTCAATTCACAATGGCCTTTAATCAATGTCTCATTTCTTTTGATACTGAGCAATAAACAATAAAGTGATTTTTAAAAGACTCCTTTAGTTATATCATTCTGTTAAAAAGGACAACTTTTATCTTTTGTCAGCAAACGGTGGTGGCCCAGGGCTGGGTCCCAAAATAAATGCACACACACAACATAGCTTTTGATATAAAACTGGCCACAAATTTATTGGTTACATCTCCTGGTGTGAGCACAGAGGACGGATCCCCACCAGCCACTCTGCCTGGTGTGTGATGCTGCCCAAGGAGACATAATCAGGATTAACCACATGGATGTAAGCCATTGTGTGGCCCTGCCTGTCTCTCAAAGGAGGTGGAGAGTGTGCAACAGCTCCTGAGCTAGGCATGCACATGACCTCTCCACCTCTACCTCATCTAGGAGCACCACCTAGGAGAGGAATGCCACACTTAAGGGCACTCCCCCAATCATCTGGATCTCTCCTCATATTCTAAAAAAGGTCACAAGAGGTGTGAAGGACCTCCTGCCAGAGCTACTGCAGCTGCAAGCAATCATACAGCTCTCCTTTTACTCCATGAAACCAACTGTCCATCCCCTAGGCTGAAATGTGGGCACCATCCAGGCCAAAAAAAAAAACGCAGCTACCTGAAAAGACCATTCTGCTGGCCAAGTCCACCAAAACTGGCCAGTCTTCTTTGTTATTTTCTGTCTGGCAATGTCCACAGCTCCACGCCAGTTCCTTGCCTCCAATTCATTTGAAAAGACTTTTGCTGTTTCCAGAAACAATGTTTTCAGCTTCAAGAAATCTTGTTCCGATGCATGTCAAAGCCTTTCCTCTCCACCAGGTCATTCTGTCCTAATCGAAATCTCAGCCTGTCTGGTTGTTGCACCTCCTTGGTTTTCCACATCATCATTGGCATCAGGGCACTCCACCTCATTTCTCTCCAACCCATACAACATTTCCCTATTAAAAAGCAATATAAGAAATTAAACAGACACCAGCCAATCCCCTGACCCTTCATTAGACCTGTCAAAGTCAAGAAGTTAGCCATCACCCTTGTACACACTCGTTGTGGAGGGAGTAACCATGTTTAGTGCTCACTTAAAGATGGCTTCCTCCAAGGTCCCACAATTCTTGTTAGCACTTCCCCTGCCAAATACCTAAAGGCTCTGTCACTTTTGTTTTGTATTGTATTGTTATTTGCACTCCCACAGCCAGTGGCAGCATGTCCATCATTTTACTTTGTATGTCATGTGTCATTCTAGGGCACTGTGGCAATGGAGGTCATGAGAAGGCAGCCACCCCAAAAATGGAGAGGAATTTGAGGGGAAGAGGACTCTGCAAAGCACCCTATTTGTAAGAGAAGAACATATCTCAGAAACCTTTATTTTCGCAAAATGACATCAGATAAATTTTGGATCAGCACAGTGTCATTTTCCAAATGTTATAATTTTAGGGACTATTTTGTGTGTACTGCAGATGCAACTCCTTCCCTTGTAGCCATTAGGAACAAGAACAGTGATATGACCAGATTAACGTGTGCAGACTGCAAATAGTATTGTGGCATAATTTGCCTTCCAGTTTCCCCAGAATTTTATTTCCCCTTGAATTATTAATCTTACAACTGCAGAGCTGGCAGGGACCCTATGGATCACCAAGTACAGTCCCTGTCAATGAGGCACAGTGGGAAATTGAACTCTCAGCTCCTAGGTCTACAGCCAGATTCCTAAAGTAAAGGTAAAGGTTCCCCTTGACAATTTTTGTCCAGTCGTGTTCGGCTCTAGGGGCGGTGCTCATCCCCGTTTCCAAGCCATAGAGCCAGCGTTTTGTCCGAAGACAATCTTCCGTGGTCACATGGCCAGTGCGACTTAGACACGGAATGCTGTTACCTTCCCACCGAGGTGGTCCCTATTTATCTACTCCCATTTGCATGCTTTTGAACCGCTAGGTTGGTGGGAGCTGGAACAAGTGACGGGCGCTCACTCCGTCATATGGATTCGATCTTACGACTGCTTGGTCTTCTGACCCTGCAGCACAGGCTTCTGCGGTTTAGCCCACAGCACCACCACGTCCCCTAGATTCCTAAACCACTGTGCTATCAAAAAAAGTCTCCAGTTTTTGTCTCATCCTCAGAAGAATCACCATACATCAGAAATGACTTGGCAGCACATCATCTACACCCTTTAGAGCTTCTTTTGATGACGTCTCTGAGCTCACTGTAACATTACAAGGTGGCCAAGATTGCTGCACATGTTGTTCTTTCTGTTAAATGTTTCATCATCAATCTGTAGCTTTTCTTCCTGACCTGAAAAAGATCCTACAAGAAGAGTTAACTTACGACACCTTCTCCTGAGCTTTAATTAAAATGTGGGAGCTTGTCACAGAGAGGACTGGATAATGAAACACAATGTGCACACTTTCTCCTCAGCTACTTCATAAGTAAGCTGAGTAGTAAGTACAAGACTCCTCAGCTTTACACATGAGAGTATTTAACATTCCTTTGAAGGGGATGCAGGTTTTATTGGATTACATGACAATGGTTGAAATTCTTATGGACCGCACTAACTAGAACACCACACTAGCCCTTTTTTGCTCCTGCTTCTTGTAGTAATAGAGGCAGCAGCAGTACAAGAAGAGAGAAGGGAGAAAAAACTATATTCCTTGAGGACCATCATCAAGAAACTGTTAGATAGTTTTTCTTCCTCCATAGGAAATTCAGGGAAACAACCTTCTTGATTCAAGAAGAGAATTTAGGGAAACTGTTGCTTACAAAACAAGCCACAAGCTAGGTGAGCCGGTCCATTCCCCATCACTAGTACCTTTTTGCACATCTTGTGCTACCATTGTCTCCAAGACCACTCCCCTCCCCATGGTAATCAGATATCAACGGCTTCAATTGGCTCTTAGTAACATTGTAAATTACTGTACTGCAAAGGCTCTTCCACAAAATTGTTCTGATGTGTGCAGCTCCAAATGAATCTAACACTAACAAACTGATTAACTTTGGATGGACTAGCTTTTATCTGACACTAGCTCTGGGGGAAATTTAATTTTAGGAACTAGATGTTCCCATCTAATTTAATATTCTCCTTAATAAAGAGCATGTAGTAGCTGGAAAGAGAATTGAAGAGCATGCCGCTTTCCCTCTTCATTAAATGGCTTCCTAATAGCAAAGTCATATCTTCCAGAGTGTGTTGCAGATTTCATCCTGAAAGAAGAGAATATATGTTTCATTTTCAATGCCGTTGGATCCATTTAGGCTTCCTCTGGGTTTTTTTCTCCCATCAAAATTCACACTAAACATGCAAGGCAGCAGTCCACTGGCATACAAAACATATCATGCTTAGTATCAGCTATTTCTGTCAGCACTCAGTTTACATATGCAAGTTCAGCATGTTTATTTTAAACACTTCTGCATGACCTCCCATTACAAGACATTTCAAAACGCGCAGCTGAGACAGGAAAAGGTGTTGCTGCCAAGCAGCTTACACCCAGAGCACAACACCTTGGCCATGCTTCTTGACATAAGGTAAGGTCTACTCTGTTGAGGGGAAAATATACTGTCTTGCCCCCCACTGGGTATTAGTGGGGAGCATGCCCTGTACCTGCTACTGACTTAACGCTCATCTTTTTTCCCCTCATCTCTTAGGGCCTTGAGACTGTCCCTTCCTTCCTATTCTTTGTTAGTCTCTTTTCCATTTTCTGTTCTCCATACTTACGTGGAGATGTAGCTTCACAAGGAAAGAACATGTGAATGTACTGTGAGAAAAAGTTTTTCTTTTAACCAAGAAGCATCCAAACTGATTTTTCTTTCCTGTTCAAAGGGACAGGGTGAGATGTTGCAATTTGTCCAGTCGTGTCTGACTCTAGGGGGTGATGCTCATCTCCGTTTCCAACCCATAGAGTTGGCATTTTGTCCAAAGACAATCTTCTGTGGTCACGTGGCCAGAGCAACTAGACACAGAACGCTGTTACCTTCCATCATGGTGGTACCTATTTATCTACTCGCATTTTGCATGTTGCATGCTTTCGAACCACTAGATTGGTGGGAGCTGGGACAAACGATGGGAGCTCACTCCGTGCTGATGGGAGCTCACTCCTTAGGACTGCAGGTCTTCTGACCTTGCAGCACAGATGCTTCTGCGGTTTAACCCGCAGCGCCACCACGTCCCATGGTGCAAATAACCAAAAGCAAATAACCAAATCCCAAGTCCCTCCAACAAATTCTATGCTCTGCTTGCAAAATGTCAGTGACAGAAAACGGGCACTGGTATGGAAAAACCCTGTTTGTTGAATACCCATGTGATCATAACATCCAGCAACGCAAAGGTACTGCATTGTGTTTTTTGGGTGTGGTAACTGTTTAGCAATTTTCAAAGGGGTGGCCATAGTTTAGCAATTTTCAAAGGGTTGGCCATGGATATCCAGTGTGGTATAGTGGATAGAGTAAAGGACTGGGAGTCGGAAGACCTGAGTTCAATTTCCTAGCTCTGCCATAGAACAGGAGGAGGGGTGGAAGTGGTAAAGCCATTCCTTGAGAACTCTATTAGAGCCTTTTTAAGTCAGTTCTAACAACAATTTGTGCTGCTAATTGCTAGTAGCTTTTTTTTTTCAGTCCGATACCCACATATCAAAGAGCAGGGCCCACTAGATTTAATACAGAATTAGTGCTGAGTAATCATGTACAGAACTGGACTTTATTTATTTATTTATTTATTTATTTATTTATTTATTTATTCATTCATTCATTTATTTATTCATTCATTCATTCATTCATTCATTCATTCATTCATTCATTCATTCATTCATTCAAAATGCTTTTTAATCCACCTTTCTCCTTAAATCATTTTAAGGAGAAAGGTGGATTCAAAAGCATTTTAAATGAATAAAGGCACCTTACAGCAATTAAAAGACAGTAGTTAAGTTAGTAACAATTATACAATACTAAAAGGATCAATGAATACAATGTCAAAAAAACATAAACAACATCAAAACCCATTTGATGCAGGAAGGTGCAACAATTCTGACTCAGCAGCCAATCACTCAGGGAAATCTTGACTGAAAAGATAGGTCTTTGCTTTTGGAAAGGCAGTAAAGATGGGGCCAGTCTGGCTTCCTGTGAGAGGGAGTTCCAGAGTCTGGAATAGCAGTGATAGAGAAGGCCCTCTCCCATGTCCCCACCAAACACATCTGTGAAGGTGGTGGGACTGAAAGAAAGACTTCTGATGATCTTAACACTTAAACATGCTCATAAAGGGAGATGAGATCCTTGAGATAGCTTGGGTCCAAGCCATTTAGGGCTTTATAGGATAGAATCATCACTTTGAATTCTGCCCGGAAACTGTAACTAAATTTAGAACAGGGATAGAATACCTGTGCCCAGGATTATCCCTAGCCATTGGCCATGCTATCCTGTAGCTGATGGGAGGTGGACCTAGCAACATCTGGACAGAAAGAGATTTCCCCATCCCTGCAAACGTTACTCTGTCTGCTAACCTGTGCCACCTTTACAGTCCTATCCTGAAGCTCCACACAGTTGCTGAAACCCTGCTGTGCAACTTACATTGCATAAGGCTGATGACATCATCAGCTGTGGTAATTGTTCCCCCTTTCCCTCTTCTCAAAGGTCCCGAGACTCACTTCTCTTTCATCAAGGGGAAGCCACTGGGGGCTGCAAGGGGGGGGAAGGGTTCACGTTCTGAAAATCACTGCCACTACTAATATCATCTCACCAGTGGCAGTTTTCAGAGATTAAAGACCCCTCTGCATCCCATGACCCCCAACATGACAAAAGGGATCCCACGGGAGAAGGAATTCAAAACAAAATTACTTTGTGAAAAACCAATGCGGCTGATGTTGTCATCAGCCTTACATGGCATAATTTAAAGCAACAGGGCTGTATCCATTGTTTCAGATGAGACTAATACCATCTGGAGGCAAGACATTCCCATTTTTTGG